AAACGTTCGGAGATTGTTTTTAAAATAGAATCCCTGTCCTTGTGGTGTTTGGTGTTGGATCTAAATTGTTCCGAGAGGCGGAAGGGCAGGTCTGGAGTCCCGAGGTTGGGGTTAAGAAAATTTTGAGCTGGAAGCCAGGGGCCGCACGTGCGGGGAGTGAAGCCGCACGTGCGGAATTCAGGGGAAGTTTGGGTGGCCTGCTGCTTAATAAATACGAGCGGAGAGAGGTGCGGGAGAGGAGCCTTGCACGTGCGAGGGTAGGGAAGGGCGCCGCACGTGCGGCATACGGGCAGTCCAGATCTTTGTTTTATTTCTCTTTTTGGCCGAAGTGTATCTCATTTGGGGCTCTTTTCTCTCACTCTAAAGCCTAATTTCTCTCCTCCTTCTCTCTAGAAATCATTTCCAAAACATTAAAAAAACTCTTTGATTCTTGTAATCCCTTGGGTTTAGATCACCATCCTCATCCTCTAATCTTGAAGATCAAGCTTGGGACTCTTCTTGGTGTAGTGGAAGTTGAAGGATCCTCCTTTAGGGCTAGGGTTTCATCTCCCTCTTCATCAATCCTTGAGGTAGGGACATTCTTGAGTTATATATACATGTTTTGCAAGATATGTGTTGATTTTGTTACTTTTCTTGAGTTTATTTTGAGAGTTAGATTCTTGGCTCAAGGATAATGAAATTTCTCAAATGAGGGTTTAAACTTTAAATGTTTTAAGTTAAATCTTGAAGCCTTTAACCTATGACATAAGAAAGATGATTTTGATGAGCTCTCACATGAAAGAGGTGGTGTTTTGGCTTCTTGAGAAAGAACCCTAGAAATTGGGGGGTTTTAGAAAAACATGAGAACAACAATGAAATTCTTCTTTTCTTGTGTTCAAATGAGTAAATAAGTGTGAATTCCACCATGTGGTATAAAGAAATGATAATTCTCTTGATAAGGGAGTGGAGGACCTATCTTTAAAACTATTGTTGAATGCATGGAAATAATTATGTGTAAGATGATAATTGTTGTGCATTATGGAATTGTGAAAATTATAAACATTGAGAATTTATGTTTGAAAACATTATATGTAGTCTTGATGAGAATCTATTGCTAAGAATAGTGAGAAGTGAAATTGTGACTAAGTGTAGATGACATATGGTTATCTTGAGAAAGAGCATTGAAAAAAGGTAATGGGAAATGTGCTTGTGGACACTATTGTAGAGACCATGAAAATGGAGAAATGTTATAAGAAATGGAAAATCTTTGCATTGCATACTCATTCATGTTGTTATTATTATGCATTGTGGAATTTGAATGGAAACATTTGCTTCAAGAAAAGAACATATTTATCGAAATAGAACTGTGAAAATGTGTATAGGGTAAATACAGTGGTATGTCCGGATAGGGGGTGCAGATGATTTGATAAGTTGGCCTAAGTGTCCATGGTAAAAGACTAGAAAACCATGCGGATAGGTGTCGAGCCTTGCGATTAATACTGGTAAAAATGACAACTTGATAGTACTTGTAGAGTCTACTTGCAAACACCAGCCTAGGGATTACTAGTGTCGTATTTACAGCCCCTATTGATTTAGAATTGGAAGTTTTGAAATAAGTTGAGGTTGCAAATTTTATTGAAAGATGGTAATCCTTAAAAGAGCACGAAATGGATTTATTTCTAAAAGGTGCATGGCATGGCATTGGTATTTGCATTTTTTTTATCGGAATTGCATAACTGTATATACTTTGTGAGAATTCTCTACTGGGCGTTATGCTCACCCCTATGGGATTTGGTGTAGGTAAAGATGTGGTGATCTCGCCAACCTGAGGGCGTGGATATTTTTGAGGAGAGTAAATATCTCTTTTAATTTTTGTTGTAATTCTTTTGTGAGCCAAGGGCTAATGTGTATGGGTTCGAGAGACCATTTCGTGTAACCGGGCTATTGCCTTGGAAGATGTAAGCCCTTAAGGGCATTTTATTGTTTTGAGATTAGATACTTCACATGCTATAGATTCATGTGTTTTTTTGTTTAATTGAATGTATACCTGCATGTGAAACTTTTGTGTAAACTCTTTATTAATATGACAAGATGGAAAGATTATTGTCATTGTTTAATGAATGCTAATTAATAGGGTTATTTCATGTTGTATTATTTTCGGGACGTTACAATACGACACTGGTAATCCCTAGGCTGGTGTCTGTAAGTAGACTCTACAAATACTACCAAATTATCATTTTTACCGGTATTAACCAAAACGCTCGACACCTATCTGTGCGGGTTTCTGGTTTTTCACCAAGGACACTCAGGCCATCTTATCAAGTTCAACTACACCCCCTATCCGGACTTACCACATATTTACCCCATTCACATTGCCATAGTTCTCATTGCAATATTATTTTCTTTCATGAAACAGTTGCCTTCAATCGAGATTTACAATGCAAAATAATAATAACATAAATGAGTACGCAATGCAATGGTGTTTTTTTTTTTTTTTTTTTTTTTTTTTTCACTTATAACATTTCTCCATTTCCAAAGTCTCTACAATATGTTAACAATCACATTTCCCATTATCTCTTTTCAATGCTCTTTCCCAAGATAACCATATGTTATCTACACTTAGCCACAATTTCACTTTTCACAATTCTTAGCAATATAGTCCGGCCAAGACCACATGTAATGTTTTCAAACATTAATTCCCAATGTTTATAATTTTCACACTTCCATAGTGCACAACAATTATCATCTTACAATTAAATATTTCCATGCATTCAACAATAGTTTTAAAATAAGTCCTCCACTCTCTTATATCAAGAAAAGTATCATTTCTTTATATCACATTGTGAAATCCACACTCATTAACTCATTTAAACACAAGAAAATAAGAATTCCATAGTTTTTCTCATATTTACTAAAAAACCCAATTTCTAGGGTTCTTTCTCAAAAACCAAGACAACTCCCATTTTCATGTGAAGGCCCATCAAAACCATCTTTCTTAAATCATAGATAAAAGGCTTCAAGGATCAACTTAGAACATTTAAAATTTAAAAACCCAAATTTTGAGAAAATCTCATCATCCTTGAGCCAAGCACCCAAACTCTCAAAATACATTCAAGAGGAACAATAAAATCAACATATATCTTGCAAAACATGTATATATAACTCAAGAATGTCCCTACCTTAAGCTTGATGAAGAATGGAAGATGAAACCCTAGCTCTAAGATGAGGGTTCTTCAATTTCTCCTACACCAAGAAAGCCCTAGCTCTTGATCTCCAAAGCTTGAGAGGGAAAGATGATGAGGATGATGAATCTAGATCCAAGGGATTTGCAAAATCAAAGAGTTTTTAGTGTTTGAGGAGGTTTTCTAGAGAGAGGGAGAGCAAAATGGCCTTTAGAGTAAGAGGATGAAGCCCTAAAAATGATATACAACTCGGCCCTAAAGATACAAAAATACAAAAATTCAGACCCAGGCTGACCGCACATGCGGCGCCCATCCCCGCACATGCGGAGCAGCCCTCCCACACGTGTGGCCTATCCCCCCGCACGTGCGGCGCTCCTCTTCCGCACCTCACTCCGCTCGTGCATATAATGCAGTAGGCCACCCCAAACTTCCCTTGAATTTCGCACATGCAGCCTAGTCTCCCGCACGTGCGGCCTAAGGCCCCCGCACATGTGGCTAGCCAACCAGCCCAGAAAAGTTTTTGGTTTCACTCTCGGGCACTGCAGACCTGACCCCATGCTCTCCGGAACTAGCAAAGATCGACACCGAACGAAACGAGAACAAGAACTCTACTTTAGAGAACCATTTCCGAACGTTTCAAGCCCAACCAAGATAAAAAGAGAATAGAGCGACAATGGAAAGAAAATAGAAGAAAAGACCCAGTCGTCACAACAGTCACATTAGTTATATAGTATGAGATTAAGCATTCATGATCATAGCTATCTGTAAATTGTTATTGTTGAGGATCATGTTGAGATCCCTATTGGACTATATGTTCATCCCACGTTGTTAATCCTTTTCAGGTGAACATCGAGAAGTGTTTCAAGGTCATGGATCTTCTTTACCTATTGGCCACGAGGCCTTTTATGTGTAGGCGGAATGCCATCGATGTAAAAGGGTTAAACCCTTCCTATTGATTTAAATGATGCAAGCATACGGGCAATGTATTTAATAATACTTTCATGTTGCATTCTTTTTTATCCGAATGAGAGAATTCTTATTGATGTATTCCTTGCAAGAACATGTCCAACCCAAGTCAAATCAGGTGCAAAGGTGCAAGACTATAACAAATCAAGATTGAAGTTCCAATTGACATGAGATCTGTTCGTAATCCAATCGAGAACTCTGCCGCCCTCTCGCCTCCTTGAGCCTCACATCTTCTCCTTATCGCATCGCCACCATCGCACTCAACCACCACTGCGATCTCTCTATTTCTCTCTCACTCTTTCTGCAACCGTTGCAATTTCCATGATCGTCATAGCGATCTGCCATCACTGCAACCCTTGCGATCAGATCGTGACCATTGTGACACCAAGCTCCTAAGATCTAGGGTTTTTGGTGGTGGTGGCGGAGATGGATGAGCTATGAGAGAGAGAGAGAGAGAGAGAGAGAGAGAGAGAGAGAAGAGTTCAGTATGGTGGTGGCGGCATTGGGTGGAGGTTTTGGAAGGGGAGGCGTTAGGGCAGTAGAGGACGACGGAAGGAGAGAGGCAAAGCACACAGAGAGAGAGAGAGAGTATAGTGATATATATATATATAAGATATGTATGTTTCTATATATATATGGGCATATATATATATATGTATGGGGGAGGTAAGAGCAGTATTGGAATTTGAACAATAATCTTGGATGAAATCAGCCAAATCTGTTTGAATTTTGAAGGGTGGGTAACAGAAGGGGGTATCTATATATTAGTTTCAAAAGTAAGAGAGGTCTGTGTAATTTTTGAAACTGCAGGAGAGGTCAGGGTAATTTACCCAAAGAAATAAGTAATATGACAACAATACGTAGCATTTCAACAGAAAATTGAAGTTTAAGAATTGAAATAACAAGTAATATGACTATCTGAAGCAAAATCTTACATTTTCTTTATAGGTAAATGTTCAAGCAATCCTTTAACAGATGTGAAGGGCACAACAGTTTGTTGTGAAGGTTTATTCATACCACTTACAAGTTTGGTCAGCATCTGCAAATGAAGATAGTTGCCCTTTCATAAGATGATGCAATATAAAAGACAAACAACGAAATGGCACATTGGATCCCACCTTGTTATGAGCGATTCCAGCAGAACATGTGAACTCAGTTTCCTTCAAAACTTGCATCCTAAGTTCTGCAACAATAAGGGTCCCACAAGCTAACAACTTATCAAGGTGATCGGCATCACTCCTATGGAGCCACTCCCTCACATTGTCTTTGTGATCACTTACATCCTATATCCAACGCCAATATTAGAATAGCAGCTGTTGGAAATGCAAAATGAATAGGCATGGAATTAAGTCATTCAAGAAAAGAACTTTTTCAATTATTCCCTCACCAATTAGTTTCTTGGTAAAGAGATTTACATTAATTATCTGAAAATATTCTGATACAATAGAATCTAATCCAATGTGATTACATGCTATAAATTAATTATCTGAAAATATTGATTATTTGTTATCTCAATTTTTCAGATGAAACGTTCAATTTGGTATACATTCCTCAACAAAGAACAATTCTAACGTATGTGTAGCAACAGCCAAAACTGAAATCCAATAACATTGCATATACTTTATAAACCAATGCAATGTTTCTTTTATTATCTAATTAATATTACAAAAAAAATATAAAATAAAATTCTCGGATTTGTAACGTACTAAATAGCATGAAAATCACCAACCTAGAACGCCAAAAGAACTTCAACTGCCAGATAAAGCCTATCATGTGCTTAAAACATAAAAGATTGAACCTTCTTGAACTTCCAACCCGCAAATATAATACTCATTCGACATCAATTGACAATCCCACGTCATACTCCAACTTAAATGTCCCAGAGAAAGCCTACCAAAAAAAATTTTGGTGTATGTGTGCTCCTTGACTATAAAAAATAAAAAAAAATGAAGAAGTGAAAAACCAAAATTTGTCAAATTATTTAAATTTCACTTTTGTGTTTTCTAAGTTATTTCCGAACTATTGAGTTTTATGCATAAAAACATACAAAAACCTCAAAAATAGTAGAAAATTCAAATGATATTAATATCTTTGCGATTTGATGGGCCAAAGGGAGCAAATTGCAGACAATTTAGAAGAATTTCTTTATCAAACATCCTATCTTGCATTTCTGTTGACTTGCCCTGAAATACATTACTTAAACATGATATAATGATTAATAACTTTAACATCAACAGTTTCAAAATCTTCTCAAACTCTGAACATTCATGTTCTGAGCAGTGTTGTTTGTCAAGGAAGCCCCATTAATTACCTCATTAAGACTCAAGATATGAGATTTTGGAGCTTCTTCATCAATTTTTTCCAAGCTCTCTAGAGGAGTTTCTGCTAACATTGCTTCTTCAGCAACATCAGTGAGATCAAGATACACTTCATCAATTGAAGCACGCTCACATCTACCCTTCCTTGCAAGAATAGAAACCACCTGCAAGTTTAAGCTTACTCAACCATGAGTTCCTTTTCAAAGTGAATTTCTACATATAGCAATCTTAGAACTGTGAAGATCGCCTATGAATTCTTTAAACCTCTGAACCCGCATTTTGGTATATGCTCAAGTCAGCTTTACCACAAGCAACTGGGACTTGGACAAGTTGGATTTGTGGGCAAACTTGCATCGCTTCATCACCTCGCATTGAACTTAAAAAACCCACATAATAGATTTCACCAATTAAAGAAGATCCAGTCATACATGAAGTACTCAGAAAAAATAAGAAACGAATACTTACCGCTTCACCCCATATTTACGGGCCTCATAGCTAACAGCAATCAAACCCGCACCTTTTCAGGAGTTGTACTGTACCACAGTAGTGGGCTGACCCCTTAAATGGGGCTATTTAAGTTGCTCCACTACATAGGCAAAACAAATACCAATTAGCCTGACCAAATCAAGGATCCCATATCACAACATAAGAAAGTCCACAACGAAAATTATGTTATTCTCTCTTTTGGTGAGCCTTTAGCCATCATTATTTAAAGAAAACTGAAAACAATGAAATGGGAGCTCTGCCAGAATGGTGTTCATGCACTCAACTATAGTGTGACATGCAAACAAAAATAGGGAAAACATATGATAATTGGCAAGGGTTTGCAAAATCATATTTGATTTCAATTAATGATAAAAAGATTGTCTCTTCATCTAAACTAAACTATATTCCATATATGATGTAACGAAACCGAAGTCAATTTCCGTTTGATATGCATTTTTAACCCACGTGTATTATTTACAATTAAAATCATGATGCAAAATTGGGTTTTATGGTTTCAAATGTTACATGCTTGTGAAATTGCTTAATTGGATTATAATGCAAGAGTTTGATAATGAATAATAGCGATCAGTTAAATAATAATTTGAAGAAATGAACAAAAATAGCATCATGAAGTGCACACCCTGCTCCGAAGCATACATGTTTTAGTTCCAGAAGACTTCAAGGTAATGTTCGGTTCACTGGAATGGAATGATCATTCCATCAAAATATCCATTTCCATGCATGTTTGGTTGACCAAAAAAAAATAAAAAATTACACTACAAATAGAATCTGTTAGATAATGTCTCAATAGGACCACATAATTAAATGTGGTGTTATCATTTATAAGAAGCCTACAATTTAAGTGATTCAATTTAGTTAATAGGCTTAAGGGCATATGTGTTATGGACCTAATGTGTAGATACTAGTTGTATAATTTCTATTTCTATGAGGGGCAGAAATAGAAATTAAAACATATTGGTTAAAGTTGGTTTTCATTCCTTTTGAACTTCCACAACCTTTCAGTTTTGAAAATCAATAAATAGAAATTAAAACCAATAATGGTTAAAGTTGGTTTTCATTCCTTTTGAACTTCTACAACCTTTCAGTTTTGAAAACCAATTACAACCTTTAAAAGGTTATGGTCCCTATTCCTTCCCAAGTGGAAAAATAAGAACACTGTCATTTTTCTTTCTAAATCCTCTCAAGGAGAAACATAAGGCACCAAAGGGGAAAGGATTAGAAGGCAATAACATAATCAATAACAAAGAGTTCATTGATAATCACGCTTCCGTTTAACCGTTCATCAATGGATTCAGGTATGTCATTTTGTCTTGATTTCTTGATAATACACATGGTAAATGATCCAAAGTGTAAGGTTTATGTTCTGAAATTTATGTTGACAATTGGTATCAGAGCATGCATATCATGTGTCTTATCAGAATTGATATGCTTTATTCATTCTATTTAGTGTCCTGGAATCAGATTCTGAATTTTCGTATGGATGTAAATTCTGTTTTTTCTTGTTTTGTTCTGTGAAAATGACAATCTGTTTTCTGGAATTGTAAAATGATTCGGTGGGAATTTTTTAATTTTTTTTCTCTCAAATGAATGAACATCATGTATTTATATATATAGATATATCTTGCGATTTGATCGGTTTAATTTTATATATAAATACATGATGTTCATCCATTTGAGAGGGAAAAAAAAAACACTATTTGTTTTTTGGACCCGTCAATTCTATTTATATATGTATATATATAATTGGAATTGCTGCAGATCATATAACATATACGGGGTCACAAATTTAGAAATCTTTAAATTTAATGTAATTTCATACAACGTCTACAGAAATTTAATTTTCTAACACTCTCAATATAAGTCAATTCAAAAAAGATGTCACAAAAGTGATCTCTCTTGTCTAGATTGTTTTATATGGAATGTTTTGAAGTTCATGTCTGTGTATCTCATGCGGGTATTTATCGGTCCAAAGACATGATTAAGACTTGGCAGAATTACACACACATTTTGTGGTGATAAACATGTGCCAATTGTCAAGAAAACCTAATGTGAATAATAAATCCATCAAAAGATAGATTTGTTATTTGACATAACTTATTGTCAATGTTTGATCATTACAACAAGAATACCACTTACAGTTAATATCACTACCCAAAGGCTTGGTATTAATGTTGTGCTAGGTATCTTGAGATGTTGTCATTAAATTAATTTATTTAGAGATATATGTTTGGTAACTTAATGTGAGCATAATTGTTTATTCCTTTTATTTTCTTTTCTATTCAGCTTTAATGTCGACTACTTCAATCTCTGGCAACATGAATAATGTTCCAATGTTAAATGGAACAAACTTTAAGGACTGGAAAGAGAACATATTGATTGTTCTCGGCTGCATGGACATAGACTTGGCATTAAGGAAGCCAAAACCGAATGCTCTCACTGCACAAAGTACTCCTGAGGAAACTGTGTACTTTGAAAAGTGGGATCGTTCTAACAGGCTAAGTCTTATGATCATGAAGCGTGGGATTCCAGAAGTTTTTCGGGGTGCAATAACAGAGGATGTTACCGTTGCCGGTGAATTTCTTTCAGAAATTCAAAAGCGTTTTGCTAAAAACGATAAGGCTGAAACAAGCACGCTTTTAGCAAGCTTGATTTCAATAAAGTATAAAGGCAAAGGTAATGTTCGCGAGTACATCATGGAAATGTCTCATCTTTCTTCAAAACTTAAGGCACTAAAGCTCAACCTATCTGATGATTTGCTCGTGCATTTAGTTCTCATCTCTCTTCCTGCACAATTTAACCAATTTAAGGTCAGTTATAACTGCCAGAAGGAGAAATGGACTCTCAATGAGCTCATTTCATTTTGTGTGCAAGAGGAAGAGAGATTGAAGCAAGAAAGGACTGAAAGTGCTCATCTGGCAAGCACCTCCAAGCATACGGGCAAAAGAAAGCATAAGGGAAAGGAAGTTGCTATTCCTCAGGGTCCGGAACCAAAGAAACAGAAAGTGCAGGATGGTTGTTTCTTTTGTGGCAAGCCCGGACACAGAAAGAAGGATTGTGCCAAATACGTCGCCTGGCGTGTAAAGAAAGGTACATTTCATGTTTTGGTCTGTTCTGAAATAAATTTAGCTTCAGTACCAAGAAACACTTGGTGGGTAGATTCTGGTGCTACTACTCACATATGTGTTTCTATGCAGGGTTGCCTGAACTACCGAAAGCCAACTGATGCTGAAAGATACATCTTTGTGGGTGATGGCAAGTCAATAGAAGTGCAGGCAATAGCGCACTTTAGATTATTACTGAAAACCGGTTATTATTTAGATTTATTAGACACTTTTGTTGTACCGTCCTTTAGACGGAATTTAATTTCTGTTTCTGTATTGGACAAATTGGGATATTATTGTTCTTTTGGAAATATGAAGTTTAGTATGTCTATTAATTCCAATGTTGTTGGTACTGGTTTACTTAAAGTGTTTGATAATCTATATTTGCTCGAAACTATTGCATCTTATACTACAACCTTGCACGTGGAATCACGAGGTACAAAGCGTAAATTAACTAAGGAAAATTCAGCATCATTATGGCACAAACGCCTAGGTCACATCTCTAAATCTAGAGTTGAGCGCCTTGTGTCTGATGGAATTTTGGACTCTCTTGATTTTTCAGATTTTGATGTCTGTGTTGAGTGTATCATGGGAAAACAGACCAAAATAAAGAAATATGGTGCCCATAGGACTACAGATGTCTTAGAATTAATTCATACGGACATTTGTGGCCCATTCCCTATGGCGTCTTGGAATGGTCAACAATATTTTATCACATTCATAGACGACTATTCCAGATATGGGTATCTATTTCTTATGCATGAGAAATCACAGTCTTTGGACGTATTCAAAAAATTTAAGGCCGAAGTTGAATTACAACTCAACAAATGGATTAAAAGTGTCAGGTCTGACTGTGGTGGTGAATACTATGGCAGATATGATGGATCAGGTGAACAACGTCTAGGACCGTTTGCAAAATACCTGGAGGAATGTGGAATCGTCCCACAATACACCATGCCAGGATCACCTAGCATGAATGGTGTATCTGAGAGACGAAACCGGACTCTTAAGGATATGGTAAGAAGTATGATCAGTCATTCTACTTTACCAGAGTCCCTCTGGGGTGAGGCTCTAAAGACAGCAACTTATATCTTAAATCGGGTGCCAACTAAAGCAGCTGCAAAAACACCTTATGAGCTTTGGGTTGGGCGAAAGCCTAGTCTAAAACATTTGCATGTGTGGGGGTGTCCTGCTGAGGCGAGGCCTTATAAACCTCATGAACGAAAATTGGACTCTAAAACCATTAGCAGCTACTTTATTGGCTATGCCGAACGATCACGGAGTTACAAGTTTTATGATCCCACAAATAGGTCAATATTTGAGACGGGAATTGCAACATTTTTTGAGGATGTTGAGTTTGGAGGGAGAAATCCAGTTAGAGACATTGTCTTTGAGGAGGAAGCAGGAGTAATCAACCTGTCATTGCTCGAGAAGTAATTTCAAATCCTCAACCAGACAATGTTGTTCAAGATAATATAGTTCAAACCCCCATTCAAGATGAGGTAATTGTTCCTGAGGAACAAACTCTACAACCTCAACCTCAAGAATCTGTGCCATTAAGGCGATCCACCAGAGAAAAAAGGCAAGGGTAATGTTCGCGAGTACATCATGGAAATGTCTCATCTTGCTTCAAAACTTAAGGCACTAAAGCTCGACCTATCTGATGATTTGCTCGTGCATTTAGTTCTCATCTCTCTTCCTGCACAATTTAACCAATTTAAGGTCAGTTATAACTGCCAGAAGGAGAAATGGACTCTCAATGAGCTCATTTCATTTTGTGTGCAAGAGGAAGAGAGATTGAAGCAAGAAAGGACTGATTACGATTTGATGTAACGAAGACCGCTTTGATCCTAGTGTTATCATTTATAAGAAGCCTATGATTTAAGTGATTCGATTTAGTTAATAGGCTTAAGGGTATATGTGTTATGGACCTAATGTGTAGATACTAGTTGTATAATTTTTATTTCTATGAGGGGCAGAAATAGAAATTAAAACATATTGGTTAAAGTTGGTTTTCATTCCTTTTGAACTTCCACAACCTTTCAGTTTTGAAAACCAATTACAACCTTTAAAAGGTTATGGTCCCTATTCCTTCTCAAGTGGAAAAATAAGAACACTGCCATTTTTCTTTCTAAATCCTCTCAAGGAGAAACATAAGGCACGAAAGGGGAAAGGATTAGAAGGCAATAACATAATCAATAACAAAGAGTTCATTGATAATCACGCTTCCGTTTAACCGTTCATCAATGGATTCAGGTATGTCATTTTGTCTTGATTTCTTGATAATACACATGGTAAATGATCCAAAGTGTAAGGTTTATGTTCTGAAATTTATGTTGACAGAATCATCATTTACCAATGTAACGGAATGATCATTCTATTATATTCCAATTTCCATCTCACTTTCCAGTGAACCAATAGAGCATAATGGTGTCAAGAATTAAAGAAAATGGTCATGTATAACATCTTTATAAAATTGCAGAATTGGGTTCTTATGGTTTTGCATGTTACATGCTTGTAAAATTGCTTAATTGGGTTATAATATGAAAAATAGTTTGATTATGAATAACAGTGATCAGGTACTTAATAATTTCAATAAATAAAAAAAAAAACAAAATTGAAGCAGTATGTTTGTAACCCAATAAATGTAGAAAATCAAAGGGAAAATGTTGGGTTTTGCCATTGAATTCGTTGAAACAGAACACTTCATTCTAAGTGCCCTAAAAACCCCGACAATTAATTAAAACAGAGAGAGAGAGAGAGAGAGAGAGAGAGAGACAGAGAGACAGAGAGAGGAAACCTTGAACGTAGAAACAGTCCATGTCGAGGTGAGCGATGACCCTTGCACCAGATGATTCGGGTCGTGCCACTGGCATCTTCTCTCTCTCTATCCCTCCCTCCCATTTCAGGTGATACAATCAATGTGAGACAAGAAGGAAAGGCATGACATTTTCTCTGTTTTTTTTTTTTTTTTTGGAATTTTCAGAATTTATTTTGATTTTTTAAATTTAAATTGGTAAAAATAAATAAATACTCATTATTTTTATATAATTTTTTTAATAAGAATGATTTTTAAAATATTTAAAATATGATTTTTAGTGTTTCTTTTTTTTAGATATAAAAAAAATAAGTTCTTAGAATTAGTATTAGCAACCGTAGAAAAAAAAATGATAAATTACAAACACACTCCATAAGGTTTACTTAAATTACAAATTATCTCTGTGATTTTGAAAATTACATTATGTCTCCTAAGGTTTCTAATTTCATAATAAATAAGTACTTTTATTAATAATTTATCAAGTTAATTAACAGTTTTTAATAATATTAAAACTTTATTTCAATTAATAATTTTATTATTGTATAGGTGAACAGTTAGAAATTTTACTTTTTCTAATTAATTCTGTTAAATAAAAAATTCTAATAGTGAGGTATTTGTAATTTTCTAAATCACATGGGGCAATTCATATTTTAAGCAAATCTCAAAGGGCGTATTTGTAATTTATCCTTAAAAAAAGAAGAAGAAAAAGAAGAAGAGAAGACAATATATATAGATTTAAAGTAAAAAATGTTCCCCTTTTTACTACTTGCACACACATTTTTTCTCTTATGAGTACACTTACCATTTTAAAAACAAATATATACATATATATATATATGGGAAAATTACACATACCTCCCTCGAGGTTTAGCTAAATTACAGATACTCCCTGAGGTTTCAAAAATTACATCCCACCCCCTGAGGTTTATATTTTCATAACAATTTGCCCCCTGAGGTTTATATTTCATAAAAAATTGCCTCTTAATTTGTTATGCTAATATAACATTCACGAGAGAATTTGTAATTTCTCAAACCTCATGGGGGTATCTGTAATTTAGCCAAACCTCGAAGGGGTATATGTAATTTTCCCTATATATATATATATATAGATATATTATGATTTTTTACCTTTAAAATTATCATTTACAACAAAATGAATGATAATTATATGTGAGGATAAAATGATAGTAATAAAATTCTTGATTGCCAATTGGGCTCCTTCAAAAATTGGGCCAGCTTGGCCTACCCATTTCCAAATTCCTAAGCCCTTCCCCTAAGCCCAAATATTCAAGGACCAAGGGCCTGAGATTGGGCTTTAGGCTTGAACCTGAGGGCTTTTTCTTTTTCTTTTTTTTGGAAATTTTCAAATTTTAGTGTAAATTATAAATTCATAATATAAAAAAATTATGTTAATTTTCTTAACTTTCTAGTTACTCATTTATCAATTTTAGTGTTGCTTATTATGTTAAAAAAATTATGTCATTACCACCCCTACCACCACTACACAATCATCACCACCGATAGAGATGGTCACAGGTCAGATTTTGGACGGATTTATAGAAATTCGTGCCCACCTCGTATCATATCGAGAGCAGGGCAAATCGGGAAGTAACGGAAGGGGTGGACGCTAGAAGGGAAGCAGGTTAATTTTGTAAATTGAAAAAATAAAAACATTAGTATATTACAAATAATAATACTTAATAAGATTTTTATTATATAAAATAGAAAATAAATGAATAAAAATTAATATTAAGTATAATGAAAAATAAATAACTAATATATATTATATACATGTAAATATATTTAATAAATATAATTGGGGTAGGGTTTGGGTGGAACGGGGCGGGGGAAGCAAAACCCGTCTTGTCCCACTTCTTAATCAAGGCAGGGAAAATTCGTGGCAAGACTCTACCAACTTGCATCACATTTGCTCTATAAATTAAAATTCGCAGTTCAACTATCTATCAACCTTCCATACACGTGCTTCTCATTTAATGTTTAGGATTGACAATTCAATTTTTTATTATTTATTTGCTTCACATGCTTCTCTTAGTGGACAAAAATTCAAAGAATACGTACATATTTATTATTTTTTATTAATGGCCATTGCAGATCAAAAAAACTTTTTGAGTTTCTATATTTTTTTTCTTTATAATTGTCTTGGACACTGATACAATCATTCTCTCTAGGAACTTGGTCATTTTCTCTCCCATCAACACCAACACCAACTCTATATGACGGGGGCAAAGCAAAGCAACGAACGCAGAAAAAGAGCACCAAAAAAAAAAAAAACTCAAAGAGTTTGCAAACGAATGCAGAAGAAGAGCCCCAAAAAAAGCTCAAGAGTTTGCATACTCATATATTCCTATCTGCAGAGCATATATTCATCCGTGACAAAGGTATGATATCCTTCCAAACACTTCTAGATTTTCCATTTCTTTTACAGAAATATTTTTTTTTTGTATTAATGTGTTGTATGTTAACAGATTTTTCATGGATCCCCATAGTCAAAACATG